CGGCTACTGCCCCACTCACGAAGCCAACCTGCCCACTCTCCCCCGCGGGCCCCTCCTGTCCAGACCCCGGTGCTGCCTAGTTCGAGGCCTGCAGCCTTCGCGGGCATCACCGTGACAGATTCCAAAGTGCCCTTCCAACACCTCCCTTCCCCTCCCACAACCCCCACAGGACCACCCCGCCTCTGCAGCCCCCAGAAATGCAACACCACCCCAGAAGCAGTGTGGCCTCTTTAAACACAAACCCCGTTAACGACTCCGATGCTCTGATGCTCTCGCCGCCTACCAAGGCTTCCCAGTCCTTTGGCTGAGGCTCCCGTGCATCTCCCCACCTGCCCGCGGCCCCTGCGTCCTCGCTCCGGCACCTGCCTGCAGCTGCTGACCAGGCCCGGCCCCTGCACGCCACCCCCGCCCCCCCAGCACTTCCTTTCGCGGTCGCTGCCTCTCCTAGAATGCCGTCCCTCCACGTCCCTCCTCGTCCCTCACGCCCGAGGCCCGCTGAACCTCGACCCCCTCTTCTGTGAAACGGAGATCGGAGATCCTAACGCTCACTTCCCGAACCGCACTGGCTCCATTTCCCTTTTCCGCCCCACGTCTAACGACACCTGGCACGACACCTGGCACGTAGTGGGAACGCAGCGCTTCGCGCGCTCGGGACGCACGCAAAGGAAAAGCAGCCGTGAGGCCGGGGCCGAGGAACCGACGCCAGCTGGAACAGGGACCCCTTCCAACGAACCGTCTGCTCGTAGGTCTACGTATGGTGTGAGCCGCTGTGCTGGACGCTGGGTCCGAAATACACTTAAAGCAACGGTCTCAGGAGCACTCATTAAAAAAAAAATCCACCGACGTGTTTGTGAAGTTTTAGAATCGCTTACAGGCTATAGGAATAAAACTGATTTCAGAAATGACGTAAAAGTGTTGTCCCATTTCTACCGTTTTAAACTTCTATGTCGCTAAAAGAAGAAAACCACGGACCGCTCGCCTCTGACCAGCCGGCCACCGCTGCACGTCTTCCAAGGGCCGGGACGTGCCGGGTAAGAGAAGGTTTGCCGGATGCCAGTGACCTCCTCCGAATGCCAGTGACCTCCTCGGCAGCCCGCGCGGCGGCCCCACGGCTTTGGACCTAGTTCTTTCTCAGCATCCCGAAGAAAGACAAGAGTGAACGGGGTCAGGAGCTGAGACTCACCCGAAGCCGCAGAGGCCACCGGTGACAGGTCACCGGCTCTAAGACCCCAGGAGGGCGTCGCTCTCCACAGAGAGACCCGACTTGCAGTGACCGGCCTGGAAGACGCGATCCCCATGCAGTCGGCCCCTCCGAACGAACCTCACCTCAGACTCACGCGTTCACACCCATCCTGCTCTCCCTGCCCAGGACCTTCGTAAGTTATAGCCCAGTGATTTCAAACGACTCGAATTCTTTTCTAATCAAACCCTGTACAGTTTAACCACACGTCAGAGCGATGACTGATGTTCGTGAAGTTGCTAGTGAACGATTATGTGGCTTGATTTTGCCTTCATGACGGTCCTGCTCCCTGAATGTATCAATTAACTCTTTACACACAACCTTACAAATTAAACTAAGTTCAGACTGAACTTTGTTAATATTCAATATTAATTAAATATTTAATATTTAGTTAATATTCAATATCAATACAATATTTTTCAATATTAAAATAATTTAACATATAATTAAATTATATATATATTATATTTTCATATAATAATATAAATTATAATAATTTATAATTTATGATAGTTAATAACTATAATTGTTAATAAGTTAATAATTTTATTATATTGAAATATAATAATGTGTCGTTCTATTAAAATGATTTGATATTTTAAAGTTTCATTACCTGAAAAAAAATTAAAGATACGAAAACCTTAAACTGATTGAAAATGTTTAAATGAATCATTCGTCCATGAAATATAGCCAACCCTTGATTTTTCCAAACTGGGACTACAGAATGTACTTTTAAAGTATTCAAAATAAATCAGAATATCTACGAGAAAAGTTGGCTCTAGTTAAGCAGTGAGATGAAAAACCCATGTAAGCCAGTTAAGCAATGAGAGAAATAGATCAGGACTTAATTTAAGAAACGCGACCCAAAATATGGTTAAGTCAGGGTGCAGAAATGACCTTAAAACCTAACGAAAAAATTAACGTTTACGTAATCAGAAATCGACTGTTGAAAAAAAATAATTCAAAAATATTTAATTCAGGTAATTGTTAACAGCTCTTTAACCATTCTCAGTAAATGTCTTGAACCAACTTTTAACCAAACTTAACATAGTTGAAAATGCTACCAATCCAATAATCATAATTTATTACTCAATTAGCAAAGTCAATGCTAAAATAACATGGATATTGTGGTTTTCAACCACATAAATATAAAGCCATTCAGACGAGCGGTTTCGACATATAAAAAAGTCAATATTGTCCAGGAATTGTTTACATGCAGGTCCTTTTGTAATTCGTATTTTTCTTGTATGTCATGGAGAAGATACAGTTAACCGTGTCCTCTTTGAGAAAGAGTAGGCAGCTTCTCTGTAGATGCTTCTCTCCCTCTGAGCAGCCGAGCGGTGGAACCCCACACGCTCCAATGCTAAGGGCCAAGGATTAGGACCAGAAAAAGAGGGGGAGCTCAAGGGGCGATCACCCCACAAATTAAGTCACTTTTTTATGGAGTTCCTAATATTCGCCACAGCTTTGTTCCTCTACACTGACATCACAAGGGTAAAATTCAACTTAAAAAAAAAAAAACTGCATGGATATGAACTATATTAATTATAATTTATAGTTTATATAACAAAAATACGAACATAAGTATGCGCGGGCGTGTAATAAATCCCTAATAATATTTGTTTATATTTTTAAAAGAAATGCCGATATACCTATTAAAGATCAAGCGAAGCTTTCTTATTAAATTCTTAACAAGACAGGCCTGCCGTGGTCCCCACATACATAACTGATTCCTGGACTTTCACAGACTTTTATAAGCGGTAGGCTCCGATGTTAAGTAAAAAGAGGAAACCATTAGTATGGGAGATACAGTTCACAGTCATGAAGAATTACGGCGGTGGGGGGCTACGTTTTAATTTTTTCAATAAAGAAGAGACAACGATATTTAATAATACACTTTAAATTGCCAAAATGTGCATCTCTGAAACTCAGGCATCTGATTCCATTAGTCTACAGATTGCCTCAGATTGCCTCAGAATGGTCTCTGGTTCCCATGCCAACAGATCAACAAACAATACTACCATAGAGACCGTTTGAAACCTAACACTGAAGCTACTTCAGCTTTCCTCCGAGTACGCTGGGGTTCGAAGGAAATTTTAGACGGTAAAAGTGTACTTGCAGGATGTGGGCATTGCACACCCGCTAAAGCAAGAATGAAGACGACAAAGCTCCATCTTAATACTAAATATTTTAACAAAGTGTTTTACTTGAATGGCGTCCCAGGATAACTAATAACAAGGCCAGTGCAGAATTCAACACCGTGTCTTTCTTAATATTACTTGTAACTTTTATGATGACTAAAAACTGTGGTTTTGACAGAAAACAGTCCTGATGTGATTTTGCGATACAAATAACATGTAGTTTTATAATATAAGTCACCATTCTCCCATGTTTTGTATATAGTAGGGACTTGACAATTGGAAAAATGTGTTCATTGATGCTCTCTTGAGTGAAGAGCCTACATAATTAAAAGGAATTGATTGAAAAACTTCAGACATCACTGGGTACACTTGTAAGAGAGATTTAAGAAACAGCCGAATGAGCAAGAATAAAGAGAATTATTCTCTGATGCCTGTAAATCATCATTTCATATCACCACACCAGCATATCAAGATAGGAAGAATAATGCTCAGGGAAGTTAATTCCATAAAAGTATCCTTTACATGAGAAAGAACCTAAACCAAAGTTTCCACTTGAAGTAATATGAGAATCGGTCTATTGTAATATTTCTTAAATACAAAAGAGGAAGAAAGAACAGAAGCACCGTATAAATTTAGCAGAGTCACCAACTCATCTTAATCCTCCATTTCCTCTTGGAATAGGCCATGAAACCTTATTCGACTTTGATAATAAGTCCATCTGATGTTTAAAAAGTGAACTGTAAATGAGAGAGGGCATTGTCTGATCAGCTAAAACACTTGTTTAAAAAATTTTATCTGGGCTCTGGCAAGCCATTTAGAGTGATAAGATCTGTAACATTAGTTTTGGGGTGGAGTTGTTAAGCCCTGATGTTTTATTCACAAAGACTGAATAACACAAGGTCAATTTTTAAAGATTGCTATATAAATTAAACGATTTCCTCTTCCCTACCTGTTTGATCAATGCTAAGAATGGCAAAGAAAGCCAACTCTAGGTAAAAGCTTCCCCCTACCCCCACCCCAGTTCCCACATAGTCCCGAGGGCGATTCGATCCAGAACTCGTTCCACGAGTTCATCGCTGAGGAAAAGCGGATCTGTTTAACCCTGTTCATGGAGGGGGTTAGGATCAGTGCAGACGACGACCGGCTCCTCCCAGCAAGGCGGGGCTGAGCAGCTGGGGGAGCCGCACTGGCCGCTCTGCCGGAAAAGCCGACGCCCACCCATCGTATTGAAATACAGGGAACCGGGCCAGAAAATGAAGGAAGCCAAAGGGGAGGAAAAGGCGCTCGCCTCACGTGACCACGCTGAGCTGTCCCTGCTCTGGTTCTAATTTGGGCGACTCCGGATTTGGGGAGGGGCCCGTTTTACACACTCAGTCGCGAAACCCGCCACGTCACCGGCGGGCGCGCGGGATGGAGCGGGGTCCGGGGGTCCCGGGGTCACGCGCGGAGGAAGCCGGGACCCGGGGCTGGGGAGAGGGGGAGCGAGAGGGGCGCGAGAGGTTTCCCGAGGGCGGTCCCTCGACTCCTCGACTTTTCTGGCTTTCACCCGAGTTCCGGGACTCCCCCCACGCAGCTGACGAAGCTGGTAAATCGGGGCGCCGCGGGGGGCACGGCCTTACCTGTGCCATGGCGACTGCTCAGGTCCGGAGGGGCGACGCGGGCCTGCAAGAGAAGGGACAGCGCGGGTTCCACGCGCCCTGCCGCGCCCCGCCCCGCTGTCCGCCCCCCTGCCCGCCCCGCGCCC